AGAGTGATGAATCATGCTTCACCATCTGGGAGTCCGACGGACTAATCTGGGTTTGGCGGATGCCAGGAGAACGCTACCTGCCCCAATGCGTTGTGCCAACTGTAAAGTTTGGTGGAGGAGGAATAATGGTCTGGGGCTGTTGTTCATGGTTCGGGCTAGACCCCTTAGTTCCAGTGAAGGGAAATCTTAACGGTACAGCATACAATGACATTCTAGACGATTGTGTGCTTCCAACTTTGTGGCAACAGTTTGGGGAAGGCCCTTTCCTGTTTCAGCATGACAATGCCCCCGTGCACAAAACGAGGTCCATACAGAAATGGTTTGTCGAGATCGGTGTGGAAGAGCTTGACTGGCCTGCACAGAGCCCTGACCTCAACCCCATCGAACACCTTTGGGATGAATTGGAACGCCAACTCGATATTAATGCCCATGATTTTGGAATGAGATGTTCGACGAACAGGTGTCCACATTTTTTTTTGCCATGTAGTGTACCTTAGTACTGATTACCACAGTAGCCTAACCAATGAATTAGATCTAATACTTAGTTCTTTAAGTGCTGCCTGTCTTCCCAATTTGGGACTTGTTTTGGTAATCAGTGGCTGTATTGGAGGGGGCGTGGTTTTCACCTCTCCTAGGCAATTAGCAATTAGTACAGGGAGGCGTGGTCTCCACCTCTCCTAGGCAATTAGCAATTAGTACAGGGAGGCGTGGTCTCCACCTCTGCAAGGCAATTAGCAATTAGTACAGGGAGGCGTGGTCTCTACCTCTGCAAGGCAATTAGCAATTAGTACAGGGAGGCGTGGTCTCTACCTCTGCAAGGCAATTAGCAATTAGTACAGGGAGGCATGGTCTCCACCTCTGCAAGGCAATTAGCAATTAGTACAGGGAGGCGTGGTCTCTACCTCTGCAAGGCAATTAGTACAGGGAGGCGTGGGTCTCTACCTCTGCAAGGCAATTAGCAATTAGTACAGGGAGGCGTGGTCTCTACCTCTGCAAGGCAATTAGCAATTAGTACAGGGAGGCGTGGGTCTCTACCTCTGCAAGGCAATTAGCAATTAGTACAGGGAGGCGTGGTCTCTACCTCTGCAAGGCAATTAGCAATTAGTTACAGGGAGGCGTGGTCTCTACCTCTGCAAGGCAATTAGCATTAGTACAGGGAGGCGTGGTCTCTACCTCTGCAAGGCAATTAGCAATTAGTACAGGGAGGCGTGGTCTCTACCTCTGCAAGGCAATTAGCAATTAGTACAGGGAGGCGTGGTCTCTACCTCTCCTAGGCAATTAGCAATTAGTACAGGGAGGCGTGCTCTCCACCTCTGCAAGGCAATTAGCAATTAGTACAGGGAGGCGTGGTCTCTACCTCTGCAAGGCAATTAGCAATTAGTACAGGGAGGCGTGGTCTCTACCTCTGCAAGGCAATTAGCAATTAGTACAGGGAGGCGTGGTCTCCACCTCTGCAAGGCAATTAGCAATTAGTACAGGGAGGCGTGGTCTCTACCTCTGCAAGGCAATTAGCAATTAGTACAGGGAGGCGTGGTCTCTACCTCTGCAAGGCAATTAGCAATTAGTGTTAGTTCTTCAGTCTCCCCTGGTTTCTCAGCGGCAGCTGTAGGTGGCGGTCGTGTCAGTGGCATTTCTTTTCATAGCAGAACTAATACCGTCGCCGAAACAGAGACTGTTCTACCGAGTTGTTCTGACGAGTTTTTTGAGGAAGGAAAGAGAGGGAGGCTCCACACCACTCTCTCACTTCAGTGTCTTATTAACAGATGATCTCATTTTGCTCTTTTGTAGCTTTGTCAACTATGTGTGTGTTTTCTATACCTGTTCGCACCGCTCCCTGTAGGCTTTACAGACGCTCCCCACCCCTTGGCTACAACCCTTCTGATTTAGTGGACCCTGCGTGCACAAGCCATGTGGAATACCGGGTCTCCGGCAGCGTTTGGAACTGCCGATCTGCGGTTAAGAACGCTGAGTTCATCTCAGCCTATGCTGCCCTTCAGTCCCTAGACTTTTTGGCCCTGACGGAGACATGGGATCACCCCAGAGAACACTGCTACTCCAGCTGCTCTTTCTTCATCTGACTATGTTTTCTTTCATAGTCCGAGAGCATCTGGTCGTCGTGGTGATGGCACAGGGCTGCTCATTTCTCCTAACTGGAGATTTGCTATTTTCTCCCTCTCTCACCTGTCCATCTCCTCATTTGAATTCCACGCTGTCACTTGTCCACTCAAGCTTAATATTGTTGTGATCTATCGCCCACCAGGTGCCCTTGGAGAGTTCAACAATGAGCTTGACACCTTGATAAGCTAATTACCTGACGAAGGCTCACCGTTCTACGTACTTGGCGACTTCAACCTCCCGACGTTTGCCTTCTATTAATTTCTTTCCAACTCTCTCTTTCCCCTCCTTGCATATTTTGACCAACCTTTCCCAATCCCCTCCAACTCACAAGGCAGGTAATACGCATGACCTCATCTCTACTAATCTCACTGCAACCCCCCTCCAGGTCTCTGATCACTACTTTGTTTCCTTTTCTGTCTCCCTCTCCTCCAATCATAACCACTCAGCCCCTACCCTGATGGTCATGCAGCATTGTAATCTTCGCTCTCTGTCTCCGACTGCTCTCTCCTCTTCTATCCTATCATCTCTCCCGTCTGCTAAATCCTTCTCCCTCCTGTCTCCTTATTCTGCCTCGTCGACCCTACTCTCCTCACTTTCCGTATCCTATGTCTTGTCCCGGCCGGCTCGGCCCTCCCCTCCTGCTCCGTGGCTGAGTGACAGAACAGGGCTGCGGGCAGCTGAGCAAAAATGGAGGGAAACTAAACTTCCGGAGGACCTATCATCCTTTCACTCCTTCCTCTACCTTCTCTTCCTCTGTATCCGCTCCCATTCCTCACTTCCCTCGTCAACTCATCCCTGACCACTGGCATCCCCTCTGGTTTCAAAATGGCCTGAGTTGCTCCCCTCCTCAAGAAACCAACACTCGACTCATCTGACGTTTAAAAAAAAAAAAAAAAAAATGTAGACCTGTATCCATTTATTTTGTGGAGAGGATCTGTGTCTGCACCACGTACTCTCACTACTGGTGTCCCCCAGGGCTCGGTTCTAGATCCTCTCCTCTTCTCTCTATACACCAAGTCACTCGGCTCCGTCATATCCTCACATGGTCTCTCCTATCATTGCTATGTGGACGACACTCAACTACTTTTCTCTTTACCCCTCTTCTGACACCCAGGTGGCGACACGCATCTCTGCGTGCCTGGCAGAAGTCTCAGCTTGGACGTCGGCCCTCGACAAGACGGAGCTGCTCTTACTCCCGGGGAAGGCCTGCCCACTCCAAGACCTCTCCATCACAGTTGACAACTCCACGGTGTCCCCCTCCCAGAGTGCAAAGAACCTTGGCGTGACCCTGGACAACACCCTGTCGTTCTCTGCAAACATCAAAGCAGTGACTCACTACTGCAGGTTCATGTTCTACAACATCCGTAGAGTGCGACCCTACCTCACACAGGAAGCAGCGCAGGTCCTAATCCAGGCACATGTCATCTCCCATCTGGATTACTGCAACTCACTGTTGGCTGGGCTCCCTGCTTGTGCCATCAAACCCCTGCAACTTACCCAGAATGCTGCAGCCTGCTTGGTTTTCAACCTTCCCAAGTTCTTCCATGTCACCCCGTTCCTCCGCACACTCCACTGGCTTCCAGTCGAAGCTCACATCCACTACAAGACCATGGTGCTTACCTACGGAGCTGTGAGGGGAACTGCCCCTCCCTACCTTCAGGCTATACTCAAACCCTACACCCCAACCCGAGCCCTCCGTCCTGCCACCTCTGGTATCAGCTCCCACTCATCCCAGTCCAAGCTCTTCTGTCCTGACACCCCAATGGTGGAACCAGCTTCCCCCTGAAGCTAGGACAGCAGAGTCCCTGCTCATCTTCTGATAGCGCCTCAAACCCTACCTCTTAAATAATCCCCCCCCAACAACAACAAATAACTTTCCTGATCCAACGCTTGCAATTGACTTAAACTAACCCATCAATAAGATCTAATATTTATGAAGGTCACTTGGTTCCGTCTGATGAGATCACAGTGTACTACAGCTGTGAACTAGGAGGAGATTACCTTTTACCTGGACAAGGTGATCCAGTAATCCATCAGATCCAACCCTCTCTTACCCGTCTTGGGTCACCTAGTGCCCTCAGATGAAATCACATTATACCAGGGTTGGGCTCAATTCCATTTCAATTCAAAAAGTAAACCAAATTCCAATTCCAAATTGTTCCCATTGAAAAGCTTTGACGATAATAGAAATGTCAGTGTACTTCCTGAATTGAAATTGACCCCAACCCTGCAGTGTACTTCAGCTATGAGCCGGCAGGAGATTACCTGGACAGTGTGATCCAGTGTTCTAGGCCCTGTTTGATCCAACCCTAAACCTGTCTGGGTTTTTTTTACCTGTCTCTACAGGGTCACTTGGTGCCGTCTGATGAGATCACCGTGTACTACAGCTGTGAGCCAGCAGGTGATTACCTGGACAAGGTGATCCAGGCCCACGCAGACTTCATCCTGGCAACCACCAAGGCACCGCTCAAGACCTACCCCGTCCCGAAGTCCTCTAGCGTCATTGTGCAGGAGAAAACACAGGTTGGTTGGGTTGACGTGTAAACACCACAATGTTAGACAGAACGAAAAGTGCTCTCAAATACCTCCCAGTGTGGGTTGGGTTAAAGCAAAAAAAAAATAAAAATATGCACATGTAATTTAAAAAAACTCCTGTTCCTAAATATGACTGGTTCATGTTTTTGCCCTCTGGTTGTGGTTGTACCTAATGGTTTTCATAATGTTTCTCCGTGGTTGTGGTTGTGCCTAATGGTTTTCATAATGTTTCTCCGTGGTTGTGGTTGTGCCTAATGGTTTTCATAATGTTTCTCCGTGGTTGTGGTTGTGCCTAATGGTTTTCATAATGTTTCTCCGTGGTTGTGCCTAATGGTGCTGTACTATAGTTGAAAGGTTCTGACCTGGACCTGACCATAGTAAAAGGAGCCGCCGCCTCTCGAGCTCCGCTGACTGGACCAGCCTGTGCCTACATCAACATCAACCTCAACCTCAACAACAAGGAACAAGGTATAATTAGAAATATCTAATAATGCTTTACATTACCTCTGGTCGTGGTCCCCACTACTGGTGTCACCCAGGACTCAATTGGATTGGACCAAAGGTTCTGGGTTTGTTTTGATATCTAAATGATCAGTGTTGGTGTGTAATGGAACACAGAGGCAAATTCAATTCCATTTAATTCAATTCGGGAAGTGAATTGAAATTCAAATTCAAGAATGGACGAATCCTCACCCTAAAAGCACCAACAGAGGTTAAAAAAAATGTTATAATTTCGAAACCCTTAAAAAAAAAAAATCCTTCTGAAATTTTAGGACTTTGTCAAGCAGCTAGATACCAACAAAAAAACATGGAGGAATGACTAAGCTTAAAAGGTGGACTCAATAGTATAAATATTCTTTGGGGGATAAAAGCAACAAATCTGGCATTCAGAAAATATTCAGACACCTTGACTTTTTCCACATTTTGTTACGTTGCAGCCTTATTCTAAAATGGACAAAAAATATGTTTTTACACTTATTCTTCTCCCCTCAATTTACACACAATACCCCATAATGACAAAGCAAAAACAGGTTTTTAGAAAATTTTGGCAAATGTATTAAAAATAAAACATCTTATTTACATAAGTATTCAGACCCTTTGCAATGAGACCTGTTTCCATTGATCATCCATCATCCACAACTTAATTGGGGTCCACCTGTGGCAAATTCAATTGACTGGACATGATTTGGAAAGGCACACACCTGTCTATATAAGGTCCCACATTTGACAGTGCATGTCAGAGCAAAAACCAAGCCATGTGGTCGAAGGAATTGTCCATAGAGCTCTGAGACAGGATTGTGTCAAGACACAGATCTGGGGAAAGGTACCAAAAAATATCTGCAGCATTGAAGGTCCCCAAGAACACAGTGGTCTCCATCATTCTTAAATGGAAGAAGTTTGGAACCACCAAGACTCTTCCTAGAGCTGGCCACCTGACCAAACTGAGCAATTGGAGGAGAAGGGCCTTGGTCAGGGAGGTGACCAAGAATTCGATGGTCACTCTGACAGAGCTCCAGAGTTCCTCTGTGGAGATGGGAGAACCTTCCAGAAGGACCACCATCCCTGCAGCACTCCACCAATCAGGCCTTTATGAGAGTGGCCAGACGGAAGCCACTCCTCAGTAAAAGGCACATGACAGCCCACTTGGAGTTTGCCAAAGGCACCTAAAGGACTCTGAATGCGAAGCGTCACGTCTGGAGGAAACCTGGCACCATCCCTACGGTGAAGCATGGTGGTGGCAGCATCATGCTGTGGGGATGTTTTTTAGCGGCAGGGACTGGGAGACTAGTCAGGATGGAGGGAAAGATGAACGGAGCAAAGTACAGAGCGATCCTTGATGAAAACCTGCTCCAGAGCGCTCAGGACCTCAGACTGGGGTGAAGGTTCACCTTCCAACGGGACAACGACCCTAAGCACACAGCCAAGACAGTGCAGGAGTGGCTTTGGGACTGAATGTCCTTGAGTGGCCCGGCCAGAGCCCGGACTTGAACCCGATTGAACATCTCTGGAGAGACCTGAAAATAGCTGTGCAGCGACGCTCCCCATCCAACCTGACAGAGCTTGAGAGGATCTGCAGAGAAGAATGGGAGAAACTCCCCAAATACAGGTGTGCCAAGCTTGTAGCATCATACCCAAGAAGCCTTGAGGCTGGGGGGGGACAATTTAATCAATTTTAGAATAATGCCGTAATGTAACAATGTGGAAAAAGTCAAGGGGTCTGAATACACAGTATATTTATAAAATGTGTGAGTGTACTGTGTATATATAAATGGTTAATCAAATACAAGCTTTTACGGTTTGATAGAAAGTGTATTTTTGCCATTTCCAATTTGGGGTAAAATGAGCCCTGTTGATGCTTTTTAGGGTTAAACAAATGAATGCAATTTTTTTTGTGCTGTCTATTTCAGAGGGTGTGGTCCTCCTGGAGAACCCTAAAGGAGAGAACTGTCTGGACATGGCCAAGCTGAGGCAGGTCTGCTCCAGTATCTTCGGTCTCAACAACACCAAGCTCTGTGTGTTCAACGGCAAGACGGGTAAGATGGCACACTCACTTTGAATCCTTAATCAACTTCCTTACCCCTATGTCAATAGAGCCCCACAGTGGATGTGTCATAATACCCATAAAACCTAGCGGGTCAAACAGGGAAATGGTTCCAATTGTTTTTCCACCATTCATTTTTCCCATAGGGGATTTTAGAAACACTTAAAATAAGGGCTGGGTTTTGTGTAGGCTTACCCTGGCGTGACGTTTTGATAACGTGTAAATCTCTCAGACAAGGTGACTTTTATCAATATATTCAGCTCTATTTACTCTCAGATTCAAAAATGCTAATTAGCATCAAAGTAGACATCATGCAAAACTACAAATCCCTGCAAGCTCCTGCACGTCATCTCTAACTGACACCTTTGCTAACAGGTATTGTGTCAATTTAAATGTGCACAAGACAGTTCACAGAATTGTCCATTGAAAGAAATGTAGCCAATTTTTTTCATTACTACATTTAACTAACCATTAGATCGTTAATCCAGAGACTCTTACCTTTGCCTTGATTTGGCAGTCTCTTCCAGATCATCATGGTATTTGTAGTTCTTTATGATAGCCACATTAGCAGCTAATTAGCGTTTCATTTGTTGGGGGTAAATACAGGCGAAATATATTGATAAAAGTGTCCTTGTCCAAGAGAGATTTACACGGTTATCAAAACGTCACGCCAGGGTAAGCCTACATGAAACACAGCCCTTATTTTAAGTGTTTCTAAAATCCCCTAGACAAAATTAATGGTGGAAAAACAATTGGAACCATTTCCCTGTTTGACCGCTAGGTTTTATGGGTATTATGACTCATACTGTGGTACTCAATACATACACTAGTAAGATGGGACACTCACAAGCCTCCTATACATACAGTGCATTCACAAATGATTCACACCCCTAGACTTTTTCCACATTTGGCTGTTACAGCCTGAATTTAAAATTGATTAAATAGTGATTTATTTTTTTTGTCACTGGCCTAAACACACAGTACCCCATAATGTCAAAGTGGAAATATGTTTTTTGAAATGTTTACTAATTAATAAAAAATGAAAAATCTGAAATGTCTTTAGTCAAGAACTATTCAACTCCTTGGTTATGGCAAGCCTATATAAGGAAGAAGGAAACCGCTCAGGGATTTCACCATGATGCCAATTGTGACTTTTAAATAGTTAGTTTAATGGCTGTGAAAGGAGAACTGAGGATGGGTCAACAACATTGTAGTTACTCCACAATACTAACCTAATTGACAGTGAAAAGAAGAAAGCCTGTACAGAATTAAAATATTCCAAAACATGCATCCTGTTTGTAACAAGGCAAAACATGTGGCAAAGCAATTAACCTTTTGTCCTGTTATCTTTGGGCCAAATCCAATACAACACATTACTGAGTACAACTCTCCATAGTTTCAAGCATAGTGTTGGCTGCATCATGTTATTGGTATGCTTGTCATTGTTAAGGACTGGGGAGTTTTTCAGGATATAAAGAAATGGAATGGAGCTAAGCACAGGCAAAATCCTAGAAGAACCTGGTTCAGTCTGCTTTCCACCAGACACTGGGAAAGAATTCACCTTTCAGCAGGACAATAACCTAAAACACAAGGCCAAATCTACACTGGAGTTGCTTACCAAGAAGACAATGAAGGTTCCTGAGTGGCAGAGTTACAGTTTTGACTTAAATCTACTTGAAAATCTATGACAAGACCTGAAAATGCTTGTCTAGCTATGATCAACAACCAATTTGACAGAGCTTGAAGAATTTAGAAAATAATAATGGGTAAATATTGCACAATCCAGGTGTGGAAAGCTCTTAGAGACTTACCCAGAAAGACTAACAGCTGTAATCGCTGCCAAAGGTGATTCTACAAAGTATTGACTCAAGGGGACGATTACTTAATCTAATGAAGATATGTTAGTGTTTTATTTTTCATGATTCGTTTGACAAATGTTAGCATTTGTCTTCCACTTTGACATTGGAGTATTTTTGTGTAGATCGTTGATAATTTTTTTAATCCCGTTTGTAACACAAAAAAAGTCAACGGGTCTGAATACTCCGTAGCCCAGTAACTGTGGTCTGTCTGTCAGTAACTCCCACGAAACGTCAGAATTCTTGTCGTCAAGAAATGTTACTAACCCATTGACCTCCCGGCCCTAGCCTCACTAGTCACTCAAAGCCCAGATGTTGTGAACCATGGTCAGGTTAGTGATAAACAGATGTTGTGAACCATGGTCAGGTTAGTGATAAACAGATGTTGTGAACCATGGTCAGGTTGGTGATAAACAGATGGTGTGAACCATGGTCAGGTTAGTGATAAACAGATGTTGTGAACTATGGTCAGGTTCGTGATAAATAGATGTTGTGAACCATGGTCAGGTTAGTGATAAACAGATGGTGTGAACCATGGTCAGGTTCGTGATAAACAGATGTTGTGAACCATGGTCTATAAAGAGTGGTTCTCACACAGCTCAACATTTCTTATTTTCCTCGTGTGAATTATTACAAGCGAGATTGAGGAGGTGTGTTGTGTTCAGACCTGTCCAGCGTGTTTCAGACCTGTCCAGCGTGTTTCAGAGCTGTCCAGCGTGTTTCAGAGCTGTCCAGCGTGTTTCAGACCTGTCCAGCGTGTTTCAGACCTGTCCAGCGTGTTTCAGACCTGTCCAGCGTGTTTCAGAGCTGTCCAGCGTGTTTCAGACCTGTCCAGCGTGTTTCAGACCTGTCCAGCTTGTTTCAGACCTGTCCAGCGTGTTTCAGACCTGTCCAGCGTGTTTCAGACCTGTCCGGTAACTGATTGCTGTATGTTCTTGTTATTCCAGAGTTGACTGGTAAGTGTGATCTGCTGTCTCTGAATGGGAAGACCCTGTCCGTGACATCAGGCTCCAGTCCAAGCGACTCCTGTCCCAGCTCTGAGTCTCTGGTGAGCTCCTACGTCAACCTCCAACTGGCCAACTGTCAGCCCGCTGGTACGTTTAACTCACCAGTTGCTCATTCTCTCACTCCACTACACACCTACTTCCCTTTTTTTTTTTTTTACTCAACTTTTTTTTGAAAGGTTAGTTTTCAGTTTGTTATGCCAATGCATTGTTATTCTGACACTGTTTTTACACATGTATGACGTTACAGGACATCCAACAGTAGTCTATTGAGATAAACATCACGAGGTCCAACTGAAATGAGACTTCTGCTTTATCCCAACCCCTGCCAGCAAGTGCCTTGGGCCCAATGGCATCTAGGATTTGATACCAGCAACTCTCCGGGCGCCAGCTCATTCCCCCCCCCCCCCCCCGTCAGACCCCCTGGATTCGAACCGGGAACCCTCCAGTTACTGTTTTGCCTCTAACCGCTAGGCTACCTGCTGCTATTGATGTGTACTGATGCTATGTATGTCCTGTCTCTCTGTAGAGTGTCAGAGTGGAGATGTGGGGACCCTGCTGCTGGTCAATCCTGTCGGACACGACTGCCTGACCCACAATGCTTTGCTGTCTGAGACGGCCAAGGTGTTCGGCCTCCGCAGCCGTAGACTGAAGCTCTACCTGGACGATGCGCTCACCCAAGGTAAGACGGACACCACCAGTCCTATTTTGGTCTCTGTCTCTGTGTTGTCTTCTTCAATGCGTCTAGGATGGATTGGAAGGCTACAGGCCAGGCTCAGCAGTGCTCAGAGAATGGGCTGCGAAACGCTCTCTTGACTTTGCCGGAGCAGGATCTTGGAAGCTCAGCTTGAACAGTACTTCTGTCCTGCTTCAGCTGTATTCATTTCTGCTACTGCTACTTTACACCTTTCCCCATCAATCCTACTGTGTCTAGGTTCAGGCTAGAGGTCATTTACTACTCTGCTGCACATTTAACTCTTAGCCTGTACCACCTCCTCCACATGTTTAACTGTAGCCTGCTAGCCTCTGCTCTGTAGTTTGCTAACGCTCTACTCTGCCAGTGATCTTTGACTTTTCATCTGGTTGGGAGAGTTTTTTAATGTTGACCTTGAACCACCAGCAGAGCAGCAAGTCCTGGGCTGAGGAAACCTCCCTGTCCAATTACTGTGTCTGACAGACTGCCTGTCTGCCCTAGCAGATGGGCTGGTTTGACTTACAGCTCATAGGTCTTCCTGCCTAATTAGGTGGGACTTGAGAAGCAAAAGTCCCGACTTGAAATCTTCGTCATACTTGTTGTTGTTCTTCTGCGCGCTACTCCTCTTACACGTTCAAGCTAGAAACGTCGTTCAAACTTTAAAACGTGTGGAACAATCTGGAATAGTGTGCTTACGTTTTACTTTTTGATAGTTTTAAAAACGATCTTCATTCATGTTAATGGGACTTTTTTTCATTATTCTAAAACTCCCCATAGTGACCACAACATTAACTGTAAACAAGGTAACTTTTGACAAATCATCTACTTTGACCACTTTCCCAACAAAAAACGTAGAGGTTATGAAATCTTGGTCTACTTCTCTGCAATTAAAATCTGGAATTGGAACAGAATTATCTTCTATGGATCAAACGATAGAGCTTTTTTTAGTAACCACTTCCAACAACTTTTCGTCTCAGCTTTTTACAAACAACTGCCGTTTTGACCACTTTCCCAATAAGTTAGACAATAAGTTAGTGTATGACATCTTGGTCTGCTATTCAAATCTGGAATCGGAATAGAAATATCTGTTTTATAGAACCGCATCAACTTTTGAATTAACTGCCACGGAACTTTTCAGAACTTTCAAATTATAACGATGGGGGGGGGGGCACATTCTAAGCGTGAGACGATGGGTGTTTCTCAATACGCGCTACTACCTCGCTCCATACTCTCATGCTCGGAGTGCATTCTCCGAGGACGTTCTCTTGAGTACGTTCTTGTGAGTACGAGAGTGTGAAAAACATTTCAGAAGCACTCACACTCCCCCCTACTTGCATCTCCCCATTCACTGAACCTTCTTCCAGCCAGGACAATGGCAACAATAGAGTCGAAACGAGATGCGCGCACACACACGTTTTTACTTAATAATTATCAGCTAGATATACTGTACGTGAATCGTAGTACTCCAGCTAGCCGGCTAGTTAAACAGGCAAAAATGACCTAAAACTAATGTTATGCAAGGTAGATGTCAATTCTTCCTGGGTAGCTAGCTGTAGTCAGGCAACATATGTGATGTAAATGGTCAACAAGTCGGAGTGTATTTTCAGCTCAAATAATGTCCGCCATTGATTTTCAAGAAATGTTGCTTATTTTTTTTACGTAGTTGCATCATTTTTCTTTGCATACTTTCTGTTGAAGCTTGCATCAATGCATGCTTCAAAGTGATGTATAAAGGGAGTATGCATTAGAGAAGTGCCCTCCATACTTTGATTCGAACACCCAATTAGCAAACATTGTGACTTGACACATCAGCTACTTTCACCACTTTTCCCAACAACGCGTCGTCGTCGTCCCCCCCCCAGCGGCGACGGAGAGATCTAGTAGAGACGGCGAGTGAGAGCTGTAGTATTTTTATTTATTTAACCAGAGGTCACATTGAGATTTACATCTCTTTTACAAGTGAGCCCTGACCAAGAAAGCAGCATGCATAGTAAACAACATAAAACACTACATAGTAAACAACATAAAACACTACATAGTAAACAGCATAAAACACGACATAGTAAACAACATAACACGACATAGTAAACAACATAAAACACTACATAGTAAACAGCATAAAACACGACATAGTAAACAGCATAAAACACTACATAGTAAACAACATAAAACACGACATAGTAAACAACATAAAACACTACATAGTAAACAGCATAAAACACTACATAGTAAACAACATAAAACACGACATAGTAAACAACATAAAACACGACATAGTAAACAGCATAAAACACGACATAGTAAACAACATAAAACACGACATAGTAAACAGCATAAAACACGACATAGTAAACAACATAAAACACGACATAGTAAACAGCATAAAACACGACATAGTAAACATAAAACACGACATAGTAAACAACATAAAACACGACATAGTAAACAGCGTAAAACACGACATAGTAAACACGACATAGTAAACAACAAAACCACACGACATAGTAAAAAGCATAAACAACGACATAGTAAACAGCATAAAACACTACATAGTAAACAGCATAAAACACTACATAGTAAACAACATAAAACACTACATAGTAAACAGCATAAAACACTACATAGTAAACAACATAAAACACTACATAGTAAACAGCATAAACACGACATAGTAACAGCATAAAACACAGACATAGTAAACAGCATAAAACACTACATAGTAAACAACATAAAACACACATAGTAAACAACATAAAACACCACATAGTAAACAACATAAAACACCAATAGTAAACGCATAAAACACGACATATAAACAGCAAAAAAACGACATAGTAAAAACATAAAACCTACTAGTAAACATAAAACACGACATAAACAGCATAAAACACGACATAGTAAACAGCATAAAACACGACATAGTAAACAGCATAAAACACGACATAGTAAACAACATAAAACACGACATAGTAAACAGCATAAAACACGACATAGTAAACAGCATAAAACACGACATAGTAAACAACATAAAACACGACATAGTAAACGCGTAAAACACGACATAGTAAACACGACATGTAAACAACAAACACACCCACATAGTAACACGCATAAAACACGACATAGTAAACAGCATAAAACACTACATAGTAAACAGCATAAAACACTACATAGTAAACAACATAAAACACTACATAGTAAACAACATAAAACACTACATAGTAAACAGCATAAAACACTACATAGTAAACAACATAAAACACTACATAGTAAACAGCATAAAACACGACATAGTAAACAGCATAAAACACGACATAGTAAACAGCATAAAACACGACATAGTAAACAACATAAAACACGACATAGTAAACAGCGTAAAACACGACATAGTAAACACGACATAGTAAACAACAAAACACACGACATAGTAAACAGCATAAAACACGACATAGTAAACAGCATAAAACACTACATAGTAAACAGCATAAAACACTACATAGTAAACAACATAACACTACATAGTAAACAACATAAAACACTACATAGTAAACAACATAAAACACTACATAGTAAACAGCATAACACTACATAGTAAACAGCATAAAACACGACATAGTAAACAGCATAAAACACGACATAGTAAACAGCATAAAACACTACATAGTAAACAACATAAAACACCACATAGTAAACAACAAAACACGACATAGTAAACAGCATAAAACACCACATAGTAAACAACATAAAACACGACATAGTAAACAACATGACACGACATAGTAAACAACGTAAAACACGACATAGTAAACATGACACACGACATAGTAAACACGACATAGTAAACATGACACACGACATAGTAAACACCACATAGTAACACGACATAGTAAACACACGACATAGTAAAACACGACATAGTAAACATGACACACGACATAGTAAACACTACATAGTAAACAGCATAAAACACGACATAGTAAACAACATAAAACACGACATAGTAAACAGCGTAAAACACCACATAGTAAACAACATAAAACACGACATAGTAAACAACATATAACACCACATAGTAAACAACATAAAAGACCACATAGTAAACAACAAAACACGACATAGTAAACAACATAAAACACGACATAGTAAACATGACACACGACATAGTAAACACGACATAGTAAACATGACACACGACATAGTAAACATGACACACGACATAGTAAACACGACATAGTAAACATGACACACGACATAGTAAACACGACATAGTAAACATGACACACAACATAGTAAACACTACATAGTAAACAGCATAAAACACGACATAGTAAACAACATAAAACACGACATAGTAAACAGCATAAAACACCACATAGTAAACAACGTAAAACACGACATAGTAAACAACATAAAACACCACATAGTAAACAACATAAAACACGACATAGTAAACAACAAAACACGACATAGTAAACAGCATAAAACACCACATAGTAAACAACATAAAACACAACATAGTAAACAACATGACACGACATAGTAAACAACGTAAAACACGACATAGTAAACATGACACACGACATAGTAAACACGACATAGTAAACATGACACACGACATAGTAAACATGACACACGACATAGTAAACACGACATAGTAAACATGACACACGACATAGTAAACATGACACACGACATAGTAAACACGACATAGTAAACATGACACACAACATAGTAAACACTACATAGTAAACAGCATAAAACACGACATGGTAAACAACAAAACACCACATAGTAAACAACATAAAACACGACATAGTAAACAACATAAAACACGACATAGTAAACAATATAAAACACCACATAGTAAACACGACATAGTAAACACGACATAGTAAACATGACACACGACATAGTAAACAACATGACACGACATAGTAAACAACGTAAAACACGACATAGTAAAGTGCATTGCATAAGAGTTTAAAAGAGCATTCAGCAGCCTTCCAATCTGTGATTTCAAACCCTCAGTGGGAATAAAATGATGTTGTTTCACGGTGATGTAGAGACAGAGCTTTGACAGACTGCTTATTATTTCCTTCCTTCCTTCCAGCTTTACCTTCTGAAAGATGCCAGGCGGGTTGTCTTCCATCATACTTTAAAATTATTTGTTTGTGTTTCAGAAATCCCAGCAGAGACGTCAGTGAAGACCCTGGACAGGAAGACTCTGTACGTTGGAG